CACTCGTCTCCTCTCGTGTCTTGTCTCTCGGAGAGGACAGTTGTGGCAGAGGGGTCTGTCCGGCACCTTCTCTTTAACCGTACTCGTATCTAATACACTTGTACTCTCTCTCTCAATGGATCAGTATCGACTGAATGGATCGCGGATCTAATTGGACCTCTATGAGGTGTACGGATCCGGTGCGTGTTGCTGGATCACGTGTACAGTGTAGAACTTCGACTCTCGGTGCAAAACGGGCCGTGCCTTATGGCCTCCTCAATAAAGTCACTGCCTGGCGTCAAGTCAGTCTGCCTACAGAAGCTCCGAAAGGGACACTGTACTGATTCGTGTGTTGGAGATATCAGGGGTGTTGGTGTCTCTTTTGCCAATACGGACTTGCACGTCAAGTTTGCCGTTTCCCCTAAAGACTCGTTTTCCTGGGGGGATGAACGAAATTACCAAATGGCAAGAAGAGGTGTGTGCGGTCATGCCCGACAGTCAGGCCGTCTCCGAGGATTACCCGTCCTTTTAGTCCTGCTGCGACGGGGGTGAGACCGGGTTCCTGGGACGTTGGTCCACCGGGTAGCGTCTGTAGTGTAGTCTCGAGACTCTACGACGCCTCGTTCTCGTTTGTGTCCGGAAAGATGATTTGCTGTTCGCGGTACCGCACTCTCTCGAAGTGTGGTGAACGTCGCTCCTCTGGTACAAGCGGGCCGAGTGGTCTGACCTGTTAGTTTTTCTGGACCAGGTGTGGACGTCATCACCGTCACTCTCACAATGTGTCTCCAGACATAGGTAGATAGCTCTGCCTCGTCCCACGAGACAATGTTGATCTACATTGGCAGCTTCGTAGAGGTTTCGCCACCGGGCATCGCCGCCGGAGGGGTCGCTTGCTACGTGTTGGTCGTGTGAGGGTCTATTGTGTGATGCAGTTCTCGACTTTGTGTGTGATCTGTGTGGCTATGCCAGGCCACCACACCGAAGTGTTGGCCCTGTCTCTGCACTTGTTAAGACCTTGATGGCCCTCGTGTATGCGTTCTAGTATCTCTGACCTCAATCTCCCTGGTATCAATATTCTACTCCCTCTGGTCACTACCCCATCATGCATAGACAGTTCGTTCCTAACGGGAAAGTACTCCCTAACACAGGTGTTTATGTTTGCTAGGTGTTCAGGCCACCCCTCTTGTATGTACCTGATCACTTCTTGGAGCTGCTCGTCCGCTGCCGTCTCCGCGCGGATGCTGTCTATTTTTTTCGGCGATGCTGGAATGCTGCTCATCACAGCTGCTACGTAACACTCCACGTCTGTGTCTCTACTGAGCCCCTTGTCTTCCGGTGGGCTCCTGGACAGTGTGTCTGCCACCACCAGGGTTTTCCCCGGCGCATACTCAGCCTCTGGGTTGAACCTCATCAACCGCATGAGGAGTCGCTGGCAGCGGAGTGGCACATTGTCGAGATCCCTGGAGTTCATCAGTGGGATGAGGGGTTTGTGATCCGTAATCAGTTTGAATGCTGGTAGGCCGTAGAGATACATCTGAAACCTCTCACACGCCCACACGCTCGCCAGGCACTCCTTCTCTATCTGAGCGTACCTGGTTTCAGCGTCGCTCAGTCGCCTTGAGCAGTATGCTACCGGTCTCCAGTCCTCGCCATGGAGCTGCAGCAGGACACCGCCTATCCCATAACTGCTTGCGTCTGCTGAGACCACTGTGCTCCTGTTAACATCATAGTACACCAGGGTAGGTGACGTTGTGAGGAGCTCTTTAACTCGCTCAAAGGCTGCTTGTTGCGCCGGACCCCACATCCACACTGAGTCTGCTTTTAACAGTGCATATAGTGGCTGGCCCACTGTGGCGAGGTCTGGAATATATTTCCCCAGGTAGTTGATCATGCCGAGTGCTCTCTTTAGTTCCTGCACGTTTTCTGGTGGTTCAAGTTTGCTGACTGCAGACACTTTGGCTGGGTCGGGTCGTACACCATCTTTGTTGATCACCTGACCCAGGAAGTGCAGCTCCTCCTTTCTCAGCACACACTTCTCATTGTTCAGCTTCAGGCCTGCAGACTCCAGCCGATCCAGAACCTTCTGCAGCCGCTCATCATGTTCGCTGGTGTTGCTGCCATGGATGATGATGTCGTCCATGTAGACGGCAACGCCATCCAGCCCTTCCAGCGTCTCCACCATCTTCCTCTGAAATATCTCAGGTGCGCTGCTTATCCCAAAGGGAAGACGTTTAAAACAGTACCTTCCGTACGGCGTGATGAAGGTGGTCAACCTCTGGCTGTCTTTGTCCAGTGGGATCTGCCAGAACCCTGACGCTGCGTCAAGTGATGAGAAGACTGTGGAGCCGCTGAGCTGAGCTATCATCCCCTCTGATGTCGGCAAGATGAATCTCTCCCTTTTGACAGCCTTATTAAGCTTCTTTAAGTCCACACAGATGCGTGCTTTTCCAGACTTTTTCTGCTCTGGATCAGTCACGGCTTCAATGATGTCGTTGGCTTCCATCCTCTCCAACTCCTCTTTCACTGCACCCAGGAGCGGTATGGGGACCCGGCGTGCTGTGCATACTGCATAGGGCTGGGTATTGTCCTTTAGAGCTATCTTCACAGGCTGTGTTTTCAGTAGGCCAAACTCCTGTTCACTGGTGTTGACCTCGCCCACTCGCTTTACTAACCCCATAGCTACATCTACTGGCCTGCTGAGTAGGTTATTCACACTCTGCCCTCTAATGACATAGAGCCTACATGTGTATGTTTTTCCCTTGTAGCTGGTCTGAGTTATAAACTGCCCTAAACAGTTCAATCCACCCCCGGGACCACTCAGCACCTTCTTTGGCCTCTGTAGAACCCTTTTTGGCTCCAGTGTTTTGTACACAGTTTCGCTTATGATACTACAATCGGCTCCAGTATCTATTTTAAATTCTACAGGTGAGCTGCCAATCTCTAATGTGACTGTCCATTCATTATCATTGTGAGGCATGCTATTAACTGAGCCCAGATAATAATACTGTCCATCTTCTGATCCCTCACCCTCAGTCACTTCTCTCACCTGCTTGCTCTTGCACACCCTTTCCCAGTGTCCACTTTTCCCACAATTATTGCAAGTAGACCTCCTTGCTGGGCAGTCATCCTGCTGGCTGTGTGGCATTTTGCCGCACCGCCAGCACTTCCTGTGGTCATTCTCACTCTCTCTCTCCTGGCGCCTCTCTCTCTGTGGGTGCCGCCACTTCTGTGTTGCACCTCTGCTATGCCGTTGTGCTACTTCCTGCACGGCGTAAGCCCGCTCCCCTTGCTGGTTAACTTGAGCTTTTACCTCCTCGGATTGACGCGCCTCTTGTACCGTCATCTCCAGAGTGAGGTTAGGGATCAGCTGTAGCCTCTGAGACAGATCCTTGTCTAGAATTCCCACCACGATTCTGTCTCTTATATTTTCCTCACGAGCCGTTCCGAAGTTGCAATGTTCCGACAGCTCATATAGTGCGCGGATGAATGTCTCTGCGCGCTCTCCCGCGCGCTGCATTCTCTGGTTGAAACATGCCCGTTCATGTATAACGTTGCGTCTCGGGATGAAATATGCGTCAAATTTCGCCAGTACAACATCATACTGCGACTCATTTTCCTCTTCCCCGTAGGTAAAAGAGCTGAGAATATTCTCTGCTTCCTTCCCGAGCGCATACACCAGCGTGCTTACTTGAACTGGACCTTCTTCTTTGTCCAACTTAGTAGCTGTCCTGTACCGTGTAAACCGTTTCTTCCAGTCGGACCATTCTGCGGGTTTCTCGAAACAAAAACTCTCTGGTGGTTGAAACTTTGCCATCCTCGACCACTTCTGACACCATGTAATATCTTGGATATTAACAGACAATGGAAAGCTTTATTGCCCCCTCCGGTGGTTCATCAATCCCAACATAGACTACCTCTCGCGCCACTCCCACTTACTATAACTGTCGTAAACATGCCGTAACGTATATGACAACTCCCCTTGTAGTCAGTTAACAATACTATGACATATATATTTTG